TTTAGGGTTTAGGGGGTTTGGTTTAGGGTTAGGGTTTTAGGTTTAGGAGGTTGGGTTTAGGGTTTAGCGGGTTTGGTTTAGGGTTTAGGGTTTTAGGTTTAGGAGGTTCGGTGTAGGGTTCAGGGGGTGAGGTTTAGGGTTTAGGGCTTAGGATTTATAGGGTTTTAGGTTTAGGGTTCAGGTTTAGGGTTTTGGGGTTTGGGTTTAGGATTCAGGTTTCGGTTTAGGTTTTAGAGGGTTTAGGGTTTAGGGGTGCGAAATTCAGGGTTTAGGGGTTAGGAGGATCGGACTTTTATTGTTTATGGTATCGGCTTCAGGGCTACAGGGTTTCGGGTCTGTCCTATAAGGGTTCCTTTCAGGGATCTATAAGAATTCCTTTAAGGGTTCCTTCAAGGGATCTATCAGAATTTCTTTAAGGATTCCTTCAGGGGTTTTGATTTCGGTTGTGGTTCAACTTCACCATTTTCAGATTTTTTTGATTTTGATTTCGGTTTTGGTTCAACTTCACCATTTTCAGATTTTTTTGATAGCAGTTATGACTGTTTGCTGGAGTTGCGAATAATATTGGGGATAATGTGTTGGTATAATTCTCTTACATCAGCATCTTACGACCAGTTGTCTGGTTGTATCCACCCTTTTTGTTTGCCCAAAAAGCAAACATAATTCATATTTATGTATTATGTTTGTGAATATAATAAATGAATTAAATATTTTATAGTCAATTTATAATATCAATTTAATACCTTAGCAATCTTTTCGCATTCATTGCTACATTATTGTTTATATTGTAGCAATGAATGAGTATTTTGAAGAAATCCCTGAACGTGTTCGGCAACAGGTTCATAGAGAGAAGCCATTGACGGAGTATCTGTCAGTCAATGAAGTCATGAAAAGGTTAGAATCCAATCAGAAATTGAATGAAACTGTATGTTGTGGTATGTCTTATCACACAAGCAGTACTTCTGGTTATTGCTTCAGTTGTCGTGAGTCATTCACAACACCCATGACAAGCCATTCAAAAAACACACAGAAAATATTGCAATTCTTGTTTGAAAAACAAGTTATTGTGCAGTGGATAACAATACTTTGGTATTGGTTCTTTTGAAAACATGCTATTTTCACGTGAACTCGATGAAGTTGTACGTTGTCCTACTCTCATCATTGAAGGTAGCATAGTGATTGATAGTCCGTTGCATACGACATGTTCAAGATGTGATAACAATGCCATCTGTTCTTACAAGAACAATTCCTACTGTAGGAAATGTCTTCAGAGCGGCTTGTAATTTATATTATAATAATATAATATTATAATGTTATAATATTATATTATTATAATATAAATCAAAAAAATGAATATTATATACTATAATTTTTGCAATATAAAAAAATCATTACCGTGCCATTTTGGCCAAAGCCTTCGTGAGCAATCACACCCGCTTTCTTTGCATTCACCCTCACAATCCTTTTGTGGAGATGACTGATGTTTTCGAGTCCGTCCCAGAGGTCGTCCGCGCCCAGGCAGGTGATGGAGCCGTGGAGAATAAGGGCGAGGAGGAACGCAGAAGCAGCGTCCACTCCTACGAGGTCTCCATTGGTGACCTTGTCAGGGAGTTGGAACAGCCTCAGCCCCTTGCGGGCACGCGTTTCCTTACCGAGTCCATGACAAAAGTGTCCCCATTGCCATCGCGCACTTTTGTGTGTGGCGCGGATGTTTGGTGCTCACACACTCCGGTGTGTGTGTACAATGGCGTGGTGGTTTGCCTCGCCTGCCTTGGCCCTATGGTTGAGGAAGACATCCGCTTGTGGACACCGCCACATGAAGACATCCCAGATATCCTCCTGGCAAGCACCCGAGGATTTCGGCCGATTGAGTTGACAGTTCGACTGTCACTTGAGAAGGTCATCCTCCGCCCCCAAGAAGGGGAGAGCCATGTGGGAGAAAAAGCAGGTGCACAGGAGCAGTTTTTGCCTGTAGTGGCGGCACAAACACGTGCCGCCGCTGCTTGACAGAGGACTTGAAGTGACTCTGTCCCGTAGGTAGCATAAAGAGCCTTGCTACTGAATCGGCCTAACATTGGTTAATTCCTGCGTTCTGACTGTGGTTCGCAAAACAGGAAACCTTTGTTATAATGCCCCAAACAGTCATTGTCTTGATGGAGCACATTCTATCTTGACAAGGGGTTTGTTAGTTGTTGTTGTTTTTATATTTCTTCTTGTTGTAATTTTACATCATTTAGAAATTCAATTATTAAAAACATTTTAAAACTTCATATTATTTTCATGCAATTTTGAAATAAAGTTTGTTTTTTACAAGTATTCTAACTGTCGTTATCTATCGCCCTAAATCTATTATAATTCTATCTATCGCCTTAAATCTACTATAATTCTATCTATCGTCTTAAATCTATTATAATTCTATCTATTTGTTATATTTTCACAAACTTTTATGAAAATTTAACTATTTAACATACGGGGTACATTTTCTAAATCATTTTAAAACTTCATATTATTTTCATGTAATTTTGAAATAAAGTTTGTTTTTTACAAGTATTCTAACTGTCGTTATCTATCGCCCTAAATCTATTATAATTCTATCTATCGCCTTAAATC